GTTAGAAAATAATACAACATGAGAATGTTAGAGTGTTAATATCATCTATTACTTAACTGATATTATCGGTTTCTTAATTTTAACACTTATATACATTATCAATTTCTATTGTATTTTATCTAATTTTCGTCTTCCTTATAAAAAAGATAAACTTAACTGTTTTTGAAAATGGACAACTCCATGTTTTTTAGAACAACTGTGATTATTGGAATACACAAATTTAATTAATTTTGTTTATTTTTTTTATTTTAATTTTTTCGCATTTATATAGGTATTCTTATTTACAATACTATTTATAATTTATATGCAAAATACTATTATAATGCAATATAAGGCTAGTACTATATAATTTGAAATCGAAAAAAGAAATTCAAGTAAGTTAAATTTAAAATAAAACAGAAAGATTTTTTCAAACTGCAGAAGAATAATTATAGGATTTTCCCTGGCAATTACATGTGTACATAACAATGAAAGAATAAGAAGTGAAACTAGTAAGAAAGTTTTTGATTTGTACTTACTCTATATAATATATAATGCTTCGTATCTCAATCTCCGTGTACTCTGTGCGCAGGAAATATTACAAAATATAATTATCTGCAGATGTAGATATTAATAAGGCTTCCTTATTTAACGCTGCAATATAAAGACTTTTGACAAAGAGAATTTAGCATAAGAATAGGAATAAGAATAAGAAAAGAAATATAAGCTGTTGGTTTAAAGCGGAGAGGTTATCTGGTATAACACCATCAGAAACCTCGGCGACGTCAGGAATATTAAGGAAGGGCAAACGGAATTTGCATTTGGTGGTGACAATAACTTATTTTGGACGAACACGTGTGTTCGAGATAAGCGATATGTATTTCGACGACACTCTTTTAAAAACTAACTGCTCGACTGTAAACGCGAGAAAGTAACCCAACTAAAGTCCAGTAATACACAAAAAAGGCCCGATGCAATAGGCCGCCGCATTAAATGGAACGCGATACGAACATGTGACGCCCTTGAGGCATAGACATCGACTTGTGCGACTTTCTTCAAGTATAACCTTAAATTTTCTAAAAAGTTTTATCTTAACGAACTGTAAAGGATGTGAAAAATATTATCAAAAATATATTAAAAAATATCCTTAAACCTTATTTAATGTTTCATAGGACAGAATTAATAAAGGAAAAAAGATAATTACCTTTGATTAAGGGCCGATATCACAGTCTCCGATTAACGTGATCCTCCGATTAAACTCACTCTTCGTCTCTTTCTAGGGGGACAGTTAGAAAGAGATGCAGAATGAGTTTAATCGGAGGATCATGTTAATCGGAGACTGTGATATCGGCCCAAAAACGATGTTTTATTATGCACGTACCAGCACGGCAAAAAGGCACGGCAAAGCATGACGACGAACGACAAAGAGTAGCGCTCATTATACGAATGTGGTAACTTAACTTAAAATGTGCAATAAATAAACTCAACGAATATTCTAAAAATGTTCTTTTCTATTATAAATATACGATTTTTTATTGTAACATTTTACGTATATTCATATAATATTTTATTCGAATATTCCAAAATTAAGAACATTCACACTTTGTAAGAATATTCATAGAATATTGTGTGCTATCTGGGTGTGGTGCACGCATGCATTTTTATCACATTTATAGTAGTATATTTATAGACTTGCTATACATAAATCACAGAGGTATATAAAACCAAGTATATAGTTGAATGAATGCATGTTAAAGCTATGACAACTATAAAAATGTAGTAGGTATCGAAAATAACTAAAAATTCTAGTGAAATTGTAGTAAGTGCAACTACTTTTGTCTCTCAGTGTACTATTTTCTCTAATTATTGTTTTTCTTTCACTTTGCCATTTTAATAAAATGCTAAGCTATATAAGTCGGAATTATCTTTAGTTGCAAGTTTAATTTTATTTTGTTTCCAGATGTGAAAGTTTTTACATTTCACTACAATTATGTTTGCATTCTTTCTCTTCGTATATTCCTTCTCTTTTGCACTTCTAACGAGCATAACGGTTTTTCGATGCTCTGTCTGACGCAAATCAAGCGATTTTCTATAGATTTTACGAGAGTGTGCATTCTGGCGAGAAGGCACGCACCGTATGCGGAAAACCACAAAGAAAATTTCTTCCTCGTAATAAATACGAAAAACGTGAAAAGGCACGTTTCGCGATTGACAAATACCTAGCGTTAATTTCACCAGTACTGAATTATTCGCGAAAGAGATATACCTATCTATGGCTGGACTTTCGGAATGTGAATATTTACATTGACGCGCTCGACTCGACGAAGATCCGACGAGAGATATAGAAATAGAATGCTACTTTTGATGGAGAAATATTTTGCTCGCTCCTATTTTATTTTCTTTAAATCATGCGACGTATAACTTTCAGATAAGATGAAGATTGGATGCTGCATCTGAACTTCTTTATATCTTTTATGAAATCTATATAGAGACGGTGCTACTTTATATTGTATATAAGTGCGGTATTCTTCACATGTATATGCGTAGCGTAAGCCAGATGAAATTACAGTAGACAGTTTTTGGCAAAGAATCCGCGCTCGGCCGGATAGCACGATTTCACGGCGTTAGTCGTGTTTCTGGAAAATTATTTTTAGTCCTTTTACTGAATACATTTACACTTGAGCGTCCGGATGGGGTAAGCTTCGCGATAAGCTCATTTGTTACAAACAACTATCTTATATCTGGCAGCAATTAACAGGTATAATTTTTTTAAACACCATAATGCAAAGAAGTCATACGACTCTAATCGATGTAATCGAATTTTCAATTTCGTCAGTGAGATTAAAATAAAATACTCCGGAGGAAGTTCACTTTAATTGTATTCAGTTTTGGTTAACATTGTTTCTAACCGTTTCTAACTCGAATGTAAAGTTGTGGAATGTTGAGTCGCAGGTATGGTTCGTTATGCGCTACATGATTCAATTTTCTGTTGGGAAACGCTATGGTAACTTATGATACACCAATTTCCGCTCAGGATTAAACGGGAGTACAGTTTGATCGATTAAATTCCCTTTTACAATAAAATAGATGAGAGAAAGCATTAATCACGTGATCCTATCATTTCAACATCACGCTACGTTTCCCGATGTTTCTGTCCTCTTTCGCAAGAGCTGCAGTGTTCGTCTCGTTTGCCTCTTTTTAGGCGGAGAGAAGGCCGGGAGTAGACGGGAGTGACATAAAGGGGCTTTTAACTCGAGCGTAATTTCCTTTTGATCGGAAATTCAATATTTTCTTACGGCCGCCGCGCCTTTCCGCACACGTAGCGCGAGTTTGCTGCGCTTCCGGAACTTTCCGCGCCGTTTCTCGATAGAGGGCGATTAGAATGCGTACACAGAATCGGAAAAAAGAGCACGTCGAGGTATGTTTCCGTACAAAATGCCGATGAGTTTGACGTGAATCTAAGCTCGTTGAGCGAAAGAAATGGTTGCAATTTCGACTCGCGAAAGTGTTTATCAACTTGTTCGAAAGGGAAGTTTACATGAAAATAATTGTAATGATACTCTATATACCTATGACTATGAATCTATGTATGTATATAAAATTAGTATTATATAGTACATACTCTGTATAATAGTATGTAATATATAATACTATATGTACTATATATGCTATATATATATACTGTATAATACTATATATAATAGTATATAATAGTATATAATACTATATACTATATTCTATATAATATATTGAATATGTATATACTTAATCAGTATTTAAAATTTTACAATGCTGAAATAATTAGAAAATTATGTTTTCTCGTCTATCATTTATAATTTATATAGTCATACAACTTATACGTGAAAAATTTTGATAATTATTAATAATTATTTACCCAGTGGTAAAATATTCTTAAAACATAAGAACTGCTGCTTAATCGCTAAATCCTAAATACCAAAAGTTTTATTTGTAATATATTTTACGGATCGATAAAGGGGTTGTAGTTGCAGTGGCGTAGTTATTGGGCGCTGAAAAACAAGTCTAGTATTAGCATAATAAATCTAGAAACTAGCTAAACAGGAAATTGCAAAGTTCTCCGGACCTGTAGTGCATGGTAGACGAATTATGTGGGACGTCGAGAAGCGAGACAATCTCCAGAACCGGCGATATTCCGATTATAAACTTATTCCAGAGGCCTTCGTGACCGATCTCGCGCGATTTATGTCAGACGTATTAAAGTTTTCGTGTTAACGAAAAGAGAGGAAGGTTTATAAGCTAGCAGGAGCGACGCCCAGGCAAGTTCAATTCTAGTGCCGTCGCTTGTCTCACCTTTACCACGTACAACTCACGGAACCCAACTTTCACGAAAAAAAGTGGTTATTTCGACGTAACGAAATTGTCAAATAGATTTTTCAAGAATAGAATTGTGAATTGAATCACTTTTGTATCTTTGGACGTTTTCCATGATAAAATTTGACATTTCAGTTTGTAACAAATATAATAATTATATCTAAGAATTAAATGCATCACGAGTATATAAAGATATTGCTTTGTAAATATTTTCTCAACTTTTCTAGCAAGAATAAAATATGGCGTAGCATAAAATTGTATCAGAAAAATATCTGTATTTTTATTGCGATATTTTCATTGTCATAGATTAAACTTATTTCAAAAGTTTTCCAGAAATGAGAATACGCTATGTATAAAGTTCGAGGGTCAATAAACCCTCTAACTTTAAAAATAATATGTATACAAATCTACCATGTGTATTTAAGAGTTATTAAACTATTTTTGTTTTTGAATTTAACATCTCTTGATTGTTCATTTATTGAACTTTCTACATTGTGAAACACACGAGCTTGAGTCTATTACAATTTAGAATATGTCATGTTCGAGATATAACAATTGATCTTACATTTATAAAAAATAAAAGAAAGTAAAACGACAGTTACGTGTACGTGACAATTTCTGCCATTTCATAGAATATTATTTATTTTTTCTTTTATTTTTTTTTGTTGCAGAAGGACGTATCCTAGAATTACACTCGCCCGACGGTGTCCACGAATGCTGGTTGAGAGCCGCTGACAACACGGAGGCAAATGTCTGGTTCAATGCTTTGCACTCGGCGTTGGCAGCCCTCACCTTGAAAGCATTACGACTGGCCTCAGCACTTCCGGACCCGCAGCAGCTTCAGCACATAGGCTGGCTGGCGAGGAGGCACTGTCTTCAGGTGAGAGAAGTTCCCGAACATTCACTCGGAGAAGAAGTATGCTTAACACACGGGGCAACTTCCTAACATACTGCCTTACAACAATTTCTAGAATATCCAAGAATATTCTAGACATGATGTTATTGAAACTCAGCAGGGTACCTTACTTTCGCTAATAGACTTAGCTAAAAGTACCTTAAAAATGTTTATCTTTTGTCGTCCTGCACTAAATGCTTATTAATGAAAGCTGAATTTTGTTAGAACAATAGGTTTTTAATACAATTAATAAAACTTTAGATCCAATTTAGTGTAACCGTCGTTTTAACTTCAACTTTCTGTGTTTTGTAATTTTGCCTCAACTTATTTATCTAATAATTTTCATAAATGAAAATGTTTTCTAAGAAAAAAGAGAGAAATTTTGCGCTTGAAATTGATCTCCGTCTCTTGCATTCCAACCAGCATAGGCTCGTATAGGTTGAGGGTGATCTTTTTTTCACGATTGAACAAAAGATCGACGCAATCCCTGATAAGAAGTACCCGCATGAGCGTGAGCGAAAATATCGATTATTTTTCACAGAGACACCGATTCTCATTTTCGATCTTACAACGTTCTCAGGAAATCAATGATTTTATAGCTGTTAAATATTTAATTCTTCATCTGTATGTTACGTTGAACGTTGACACTCGCGTTGTTTATGTACGGTATATTAGCCCGGTACACGGAATTATTCAACATCATGGGAAAACGGTCAACGAGCCCGAACCCGAGCCCCCGCGCCAATTGATCTTCCTTCGTCGCGCGCGCATATTGCCTGATTACTGTCGCAACTGCTCAAATACGTAACGCACGGGTTCAGAGAGACGTTGGACGCCAGTATTTAAGCAGCCCGTGGGACGATTTCAGAGGAGGGCGACTGGCAATCAGGCGCGCTAATGCCAATCAATTATGTGCCGGTAGCCACGTGCCCTACGGCCCTCCTGCGGCGTCCTTGATGCCGCCGGTGCTCGCACAGGACGGTCCTTTATCAACAAGGCAACATCCGGTGGCGGGCTTCGCGTATTAGTTATCGATTCCTGCCGGTTACACGATCAGTAGATCGATAGCACCGTCGCCGCGCCGCGCGCCGTGCCGTGCCGTGCCACGTCGATGCTTCGACCGCTCTCACCCGCTGTACGTTTACCTGCTGCGATCTCTGCAAGTGACACGTCTGCAGAGTTGGATGGCTGGGCCAGGCGGAGATGGAAAGATCAACTGTCGCACCTCTCGGATATCCCTAGTGGCGATATTTAATTGGAAACTGTGGATAGAACGGATTTCCGCACGATGGGATTCGTGATTTTGGCAATAAATATACAGTCGGCGATGAATAGAAATAAAACTTTGCAATCAATTATTTAATCTGGTCAATCAGGTTATTACACGCGATTGACTTGTTTTAAACTTAAAGTGGATAGTAGCATTTCGAGTGTTTCTCGTAGCGTTATTTAACTGAAAATAGTGAATACAGTTGATCCTTTTTTATTCAATTATTTTAAATGTCTATTATTTATTTTATCTAATCATTATTATCACTAATCACTTACAACGTTTTAATCTATTGAAAATAAAAATTTTACTTGCTTGAAACTGAATTGAACAAATCCAAAAGATGTTGAAATAATTAATCTTTAGTAATTTCTGGGAAAATTAAAAACTCTTTGAGAAATATTGTTGAAAAAAGATTCCGTTCCTCACAGCATTAATATATCCTGTATATCTATAGAATATATTAAGGATGTACTTAATATACTAAGAACATCCTTATAATATCTTATACTTTATGATATCCTCTGAACATTCTCAGAATATACAATTTGCTGTTAGGGGTTAGATCCTTCCTATATCTTTGAAAAGTATTTGCTGCGTTTAAACGGCGCTTTATTTAGTATCTGCGCAAAATACTTACATACTCAACAATTTACGACACGCGTTTCGTATCGCATAAAATGAATATTACTACCCTATATCTCTCCGATATTTATATTAAATCATGCTACATCGTTCGGATCCTGATGTAAAACGAAATGTCCGCTTGCTCGGCGTATTCATTAGCGCGCCGGCGATCGCCACTCGCGCCGTGCGTCCGGGTGGAATTTATCGATCCGGTGATCCATGACCCGGTGATCGACGCGTGTCATTTAATTAACGATTCGATGGGATATTTAAGTGGGGCGCTCACGCCGTTAGTAATCCCAGCGAAACCGAAGCGACGTTTATGGATTTTTCCGGAACGCACGTGGTGGCGCCATGATCAACTACGCCGAACGAGTTTTGTATCATTATTTAGAAGCGCGCGTGGCCGCGTTCTCGCGCTGAGCACCTCGTAAAGCCGGATATTGCGTTTTATGAACAGCATCGGAGGCCAGCTAAAACGAAACGCGGTAAATGCGCCGATCACGCACTGCGTTTTCATAACTGAAACAAAAACGCTGTGAAAAATACTCAAAACCGCCGTGAAAAAAACACCGCGCCATCGCGCGACGCGCTGCTCCGTTATGTGTGTTCCGTATACCCGTGTATTCTGTATACTACATTCTGTCATCCTATTTAATGTCGTCCGCAGTGCGCCGTTACGTCCGCTTAAATCGTCGATTTATTTTATTTACTGTTGGATGTAATCGATTTCCGGCCAGTTCCACTGTCGACGGTTTCGATTCTCGTGTGCCGGTCGGCCATGTTAGCCGATTATAGTAGTTATCCCTACCTGTTGGACTATATAGCCGTTATATAGTCGACGATAAAACGTACACGTATTACAGCCGAAACATTTCGACTCCTCTTTTTTTCGTCGGAAACAATATTTTAACGTCAAGTTAATAATTTATACCCGCGCCGTGAATGCAGAGACAACGTCGGAACTTTCCGCAAATTGGCAAATGGAATGACTAATTGTCGCTCCATTGTTTTTTGATTTAATTGCCCTTAAGTTTCAGACACTTTGTGTTTGTTCCATTTATATAGCGCCGTTTTAAAGGAATATAAAACATCAGGTTTTCAAGACCTTTTTAATATATCAAAACTAAGATCTCTATCCTATTGTACGTCTTACGATTTGAGAAGCGAATTGAAATCGATTGCTGGCGATCGGCACGCGCGTGTAAGTGCAGTGCTGCAAGCGCGGGTTCTTTGTTCGGGGGTAGGAAACAAAATGCGACATTTCGCCCAGGTCGGCGATTTGTAGAAGAAGCGTGACGCAAATACGAGTCACCGAGCAGCCGAGGCTTGGGAGGGATAAGGGCAATCCGATAAATCCAACAAGTTCACATATTGAATTGGCGCAACGTAACGCTCCGCCAGAAGTAACGCGCGCACGGGAAAGTCCGAGCATATAGGTTGAATGGTGGAATGCGCCGTCTCCCCTAATCTCGTATATACGACCGCAATAAAGTGTCAATCTTGCAGGAGATACATTTGGAACCCGATCGCGATTGGCACGGGCGGTGACGTGGATCGTGCGTTTCTCCGAATCCGTGATTCACGGGCGTGGGAACCGAGAGAGACCGACGAAGATAAGGCGAAATTGAAATTGCAACGCAAAGATATGGGACTTGCGGCCTATTTTTCAACGTGGATCAAGCTTGCAATTTAGCTAGTCCAATCCTAATTTAACCTTATAGCAATTCAGAGTTTCCTAATATATATATAATTATTATTTCTTAATCTTTTCATTAATTATCTATATTATATATATCATTTAAAAAAGATATTTTATTGGAAATAATATTAAATTTAGTATCTCTAATAAAGGAATATTAATAATCATGTCCAAAATCGCGAATAAATATCAAAAAGACAACCTCTGATTTTAAGCGAAGGAACGAAACCCTCGTGTTGAACGTTGTAATTAGTTTGTCATTTGTAACGACTTCCTTTTTACGATTTGACAATCGTTCGCGCGCGCGCAAAATAAAAAGAGCCGATTGGAGGGGAACAAATAGCGGGAATACATCGAGCGCAAAAAGCGTTAAAATTCCACATCAAAGTGCGTCGATGGCGTCGATTAATTTTGTCGTGTCGTGTCTGCCCGCTCGCGATAAACGAATTTTCATGGAATTTCGGTGTACGGCACTTTCGGAGGAACAGCGACGAGCCATTATAATTTCCATGAAAATCGAACAGACGCCGGGGAACGATCGCTTTATTTCACACACGCACACAGACCCACACAACTCCACCCCGGATATAAATTTGTTCCCAATCATACTGCAATTTCTGTTTACTCAGTTCTTACGCCGCTCTGCGTTCGGCACATTGACAGAAGCATATTTAACTGTCGCATTTTTATCGAAATTAAATGACTTTCAATAGGTTCGGGCACACAAACAGTGATAACAACGGCATTAATTTTAGTATAAATGTTGATAACACGCGTATCGCAGAAAATTTTATACGACAATTTTGTTACACGAGAGATAATTTATAAAATAATTATTTATAAAATTGTTTACATGAACGGCAGATAATTATAGCAAAAATTTTATATAATTTTTTATGCATAATTCTCTTCTTAGTAATTTTAATTTCTCGTATATAATTCATTATTATTATCGTTGTTTATGTCACCTTTATTATTGCGCGCTCCCGTTATAATTTTTGTTATTGTCCGATCCCTTTATGGAACATGAATATGGCGGCGAGCTTGAAAGCAATTTGTTCGCGCATTCCTGGGCGAGTGTGCGTTGGCGTTGGATTAAATCTGAGGCCAAGCGGGCATTAAATTAGCCGTTGAAAATTAACGGCACGCCATTTAAGTATATTTTAATTAATCCGAGCATAGAGAGACTACACGCGCCAGCTTTGCATATTTTTTTACTAACCCGGAGTTAATGTAATTGGGCAAAACTTAATGCGCCTCTCAATTAACCTCCGGATAATAAAGCGCCGCTTTGTAATACCTTTCCATTCGTAGTCAAATGTAAAATTAAGTGTCCGCGGGTAAATAAAAGATCTACTGGTGTACGTAGAACAGTAAGAGATATTG